CCCTCCCCCCCCCCTCCTCTTTGCTCCCTCTGCTGGTGACCTTTGCGAGTGTTAATGAGATGAGTAACACTTTCCCCCCTACTTTAGAAAAATTTAGAAAAAATAATTCTTGAAAATAAAATAACTTTTAGTAAAATTAAAACAATAACTATTTTTTAAAGACAGTGTGAAAGAATTGCATAACAATTCGTCTAGTCTCACTGCACAGGAAAAAAAAAAACAATTGCAGACTGTACATAGAAATGCTTTTAATGTTGCTATTTATAATATCATCAGTTTAAACTGAAATTAAATGCTAGTAAACACTGGTGCGGTAAAATGGAAGTTACACAGGGTAATTGAATTAGAATTGTAATTTTGCACCATGTTGCACACATGAATATGGGAAATGTAAATTCAAGCATTATATTGCACTTTACACATGACCGTGCCATTGCATTTTAACCAGCGATAGTCAAGGCTGAGCAAATGGCATTTGGAATTCCCCATCTGTGACCCTCAGGAACAAACCATTATTATTAAACAGAGGTGTGCCGGTGCTATTCTAGCGTGTATATTTAATTTTAATCGGGACATCATGCTTTAAATACCAAGTGCTGGATAAAGTAACTGCGAAATTATGTTTTAAGCGGCTTGATTCAGTCTGGTCGGTTTTTCTGTTTTGAGCGCGATGAGAAGACGCGACGCCCCCCTCTGCTCCGCGAGCAATGGATCGTTCTGGTTTCGCAGCTCAGCGCGTTTGTTCTCGTTCAGTGTGTGTTTGTGTGTTGACTGCAGCGGTGATCTCAATTAACGATAAACGAACATGTCTGTGGCTTTCGCACCGCTCCGGCAGCGTGCTAAAGGCGATATAACGCCTGCCGGGATACAAAAGGTAATTTCATTCAATAATTTTTCAAGCCGAATGAAACCGAGTGTGATTGCGTTTGCATTAACGTTAGTGGGTTCGGCTAGTTAGCGGTAACGTCTCTCCCGCCAACACTCTCAAAACACCACAAACAGAACATTTTAGAGAGATGTTTGTCGTAGTATTCAACAGCTCCTACAGATTAAAACACGAGCAGGTCGCGCTTCTGATCTCGAGGCGTTGTTTAGCGTTTAAAACGGTTGAAATCGCCTCTGTGTCTTTGTTAGCAGCTACATGCTCGGCTCTCTGATGAATCACAATAGAGGATTGTGTAAAAGCGTCGCAGTGTACACGGTCAAACAGAAAGAATTGTGCCAGCGATTTCTAATTACTAGTATAGTTACTGTACACCTGATTTTATTATTAATCGTATGTTTTGTTACAAGCGCGTATGCTAATTGCCGACTTCTCGTTATATCGATTACGCGGGTCTGATTTGATCAGCCCGCTTTTATTCGTTGGGTTTTCATTATTCCTGTCAGATTTGATTAGTCAAACTTGTTTTCTAGATCTGTTTTGAATTCCTCATGTATGATTTGATCAGTCGAGCTTTATGGTTCAGTTTTGTGATTCGGGTCTGATTTGGTCAGTGAAGCTTTATTCTTCGATTTTCTATTACTCATGTCTGTTGATCAGTGTTCCCTGCTTCTTGAATTAATGTTTAGGTTTTATTTTAATAATGAGCGGATGGAAGTATTTTAAGGTAACAAGTTAATTTATGTGTCATCCAGCGGCATATAGCACTGGTTTGCTGGCGCTTGATGACCAAAAACTATTGCTCGATTTCTCGTTTTCGTGAATTTGCACATTTTGTGTGTATTCTTGTTTCATGAATCAGTCCCAAAATTGCGATGATTGATATAATGACCATATGTCACTGTCCTGACTAGTGCATAAACCAGCACTTTGATTTTTTTCAAATCAGTTTGATTCAAGTTCAGACTGATTCACACTCATCTTTTCGAACTATTCATTTAAAGAATCAGCTGCACTGAGTTTATGCATGCAGCAACAACTCAATAGAAAGGCGTCTCTTGCCATTATGGTGTTATTGCATGATACGCAGTCCTTGTATTGCATTACATTCAATACAAACTTGGCGCTGTAGATTCTGAATCAGCTGCAGAAATAGAGCGGCACTGAGAATCAGTGCAGGAAACATTGAAATATAGAGACCCATAATTAGGTACATTACAAAATAACATGCATCCAACATTACAAAAAAAATACATTGCTTCGCAGCCACTGAAAATAGCCATGGAATAAAAGCTTGATCTTGGGGTTTGATATCAGCATTGTTTTCACAATCATAATTAATAGGAGAATCAGTATTTTTATGGAGCACTATTGCTAATGGCTTACACCTAGTTTATATAAGTGTTATATGGACCTCTGGTTGTGCTTTTGATGCCCTGTTCTTCTTTTTTACCAGTTTTTCATTAATTAGGTCTGATTTGATTAGCTATGCTTTAAATAGAATAAATTAAACATACGATTAGGCTTTTACTAATCTTAATGTTTAATTAACTTTGTGATGATTCGTTTGCAGTTGCTGGATGAAAACAATCAGTTGATTCAGTGCATCATGGATTTCCAGAGTAAAGGGAAAACAGCTGAATGTTCACAGTAAGTTTGTCTTTGATGTTGTTCATTTATTTATAGATTTTTTTTTTTTAAGTTACACAGAGGTACTTGGAGGACAAAAATGTCTGTCAAAAATATGAAAGACATATTGCATATCAATATATTTTTTTTCACATTCACTGACAGATTTCTTTACCAGCATCAGTCCTGATCATGACTACCAGAAATTCATTCATTTTCAGGATTTGAACCCTTTATATGCCGGTTTGTTTACATAATCCCACTGAAAACAAAAATCCTGACAAATCATTTTTTGTGTAGTGTCATATTAAAAAAAAATAATAATAAATATAAACTTTTACCATTCTAAAACACCAATTTCCATATTCTTATATTTACATTTTTTTTTTCTCAGCAAAAAAATCAGAAAACAGAAAAATGTGAATATTTGCTCTATAGGTCAAACCTGAGAAAGAAATGAGTAGTGTCATATTAAAAAAAAAAATAAATAAATATAAACTTTTACCATTCTAAAACACCAATTTCCATATTCTTATATTTACATTTTTTTTTTTCTCAGCAAAAAAATCAGAAAACAGAAAAATGTGAATATTTGCTCTATAGGTCAAACCTGAGAAAACGGTGACACCAGGTGGAAAATAAAATAAACATTTTGAAGCCTTGCTAACGGAGTGAAAGCCTGTTAACAAAGAATGCATGATTTATGCTAAAAATGGCACTGTGATTAAATATTGTGGTTTTATTTTTTTTGTCCTTAAGGTGCTGAGTGGAACTGTTTTATCCAGTGCAAAACTTGGAAATGAGCGTGAAATATTGGAATTTCAGTGCAAAAAACAAAAAAAACAAAACATTTATGCAGTTTGCATTAGCTGCCAAAAATTAGTTCACCCAAAAATAAAAATTCTATCTAAATTCTATTTACCCTCAAGTTGTCCTAAACCTGTATTAGGTTCTTTCTTCTGCTAAACACAAAGATACTTTGAAGAATGTGGGTAAGCGAACAGTTCTTGGTCTCTATTTACTTTCATATAATTGAAACAAAAAATACTATGGAAGTGTGTGGCTACCAGCAACTGTTTGGTTACCAACATTCTTCAAAATATCTTCAGTGTTCAGCAGACGAAAGAAACTCATACATACCGTAGTGTTTATATCACACCTTTCACATTCTCAAATGATTGATCGTTATTCTTTTCCTATTTCACTCAGTGATCAAAGCTCTTTTCTCATTGCTCTCTGGTTTTTTGTGTAGTGTCATATTAAAAAAAAATAATAATAAATATAAACTTTTACCATTCTAAAACACCAATTTCCATATTCTTATATTTACATTTTTTTTTTCTCAGCAAAAAAATCAGAAAACAGAAAAATGTGAATATTTGCTCTATAGGTCAAACCTGAGAAAACGGTGACACCAGGTGGAAAATAAAATAAACATTTTGAAGCCTTGCTAACGGAGTGAAAGCCTGTTAATTAAGAATGCATGATTTATGCTAAAAATGGCACTGTGATTAAATATTGTGGTTTTATTTTTTTTGTCCTTAAGGTGCTGAGTGGAACTGTTTTATCCAGTGCAAAACTTGGAAATGAGCGTGAAATATTGGAATTTCAGTGCAAAAAACAAAAAAAACAAAACATTTATGCAGTTTGCATTAGCTGCCAAAAATTAGTTCACCCAAAAATAAAAATTCTATCTAAATTCTATTTACCCTCAAGTTGTCCTAAACCTGTATTAGGTTCTTTCTTCTGCTAAACACAAAGATACTTTGAAGAATGTGGGTAAGCGAACAGTTCTTGGTCTCTATTTACTTTCATATAATTGAAACAAAAAATACTATGGAAGTGTGTGGCTACCAGCAACTGTTTGGTTACCAACATTCTTCAAAATATCTTCAGTGTTCAGCAGACGAAAGAAACTCATACATACCGTAGTGTTTATATCACACCTTTCACATTCTCAAATGATGCTGCGTTATTCTTTTCCTATTTCACTCAGTGATCAAAGCTCTTTTCTCATTGCTCTCTGGCAGCTACCAACAGATGCTACACAGAAATCTAGTGTATCTGGCCACAATAGCAGACTCCAATCAGAACATGCAGTCTCTGCTTCCCGCCGTGAGTATTTATTCCCAGTCTCCCATCTGATACATTGGCATTTATTGGCTTTAGCTGTGGTATAATAAAATGGTTAGAAACCAGAATATATTTATATCTAATGTGCATAATTCATATGATCTGTATAATGTCACACAGCTTGGGTTTGAATTGAATTTAAGATTAGATTGCCCTTGAAAAAAGGTAGCATGTATGTTGGTGTAGGTTGACACAAAGGAAATTGCCATTAAATAGCCTATAATAGGCTTTACCACAGAGTTTATAAAGTATAAGTATGAAATTGAATCGGCATAAAAAATATCAGACCATTTTGGCTAACAGGAATCGTTATTAAATTGCCACTTATAAATAAACCTGCTAAATCAATGGACAAATGTGTCCCTGGAGCACAAAAGCAGTCTTAAGTCGCTGGGGTATATTTGTAGCAATAGCCAAAAAAACATAGTATGGGTCAAAATGATCGATTTTTCTTTTATGCCAAAAATCATTAGGATATTAAGTAAAGATCATGTTTGGGTTTTTCCGCATCCCACTGCATCTCATGTTTTTAAATGAAAAATGTACTCTCTGTGATTGGCTTTCTGCCCTTTGTATTAAACTATGCATACATACATGATGCTGTTTTGTTTATAGTTGTTTAAGCAACTTAATTATAATTGGATTATAAACATTATGCACTTTTTTTTTCACAGATGGTCATGTTATCTTATGCTTTGAATAAACGTGCATTAGTAATATTTTGCTCGATGCGCCCTCTTGTGGCCTCAGAAGAGAAGCCAAAAGCTTTTCTTCACCCTAACTGAAATCATGCATTTTAAATTTGAATAGAATTCAAATTTTGATAACATTTAAGTACAAAATTTGAATTTAGTTTTTCAGCCTTTTTGACAGCCCTAGTCAGTAAGTTCATTTTGTTTTTGAAAGAAATGAATACTCATTAATCCAGCAAGGATGCATTAATTTATAATATTACACAAGGTTTCGATTTCAAATGAACGGTGTTCTTTTTAACTTTCCATTCATTGAACAATTTATCATGGTTTCCACAAAATATGAATCAGCATAGCTGTTTTCAATATTGATAAGAAGAAAAGTTTAAATTATTTCTGAAGGATCATGTGACACTGAAGACTGGAGTAATGGCTGAAAGACAGGTAAAAAAGTCAATTTTATTTTTTGGCCTGAACTAGTCGTTTAGTAGCTTGTGTTTTGCAAGTTGCTTTGTAATACAAGATCAGTGCTGTAATAATCTTGTTCTTATCTGGCCTGTTCTCGGGCGGCTCTAACATGTGTTCGGGCGTACAGCAGGGGCAAGGGGTCAAGGTGTCAGGTTCGTCGGCTGAGGTGTACGTGTGTCCAGCCCGGAGGTGAGAGGTCACATGTGAGCAGCAGGAAG